TTTATTCTTTTTAAGTGAAATTTGTGTAATTTAACTTCATGTTTTTACAATGTTTCATTACAATCATATTTCATTGTGATTTATTGTTTTATTTTGACAGTGGTATCATTTCGGGTCTTAACCTAACCTTACAAAGAGTGATATTATATTAATAATTTTATGAATGAGAAGTGTTTTATGTTTTGCTAAGTGTTATTGATTATTTTTGTTCTTGTTCCCTGTTTTATAATGTGATGCAGCCGACCAAGGTGAGGACGTCACAGTAATAGATATGACTTCCATCAAAGCGACGCTTACCTTTCCAATGATTTTTTTTCTGGCCGTATCGAATACTCGGAATAACCCTAACCCATTGATCGAAATCTGAAAACATAGCCAAAATCATCACCTTCGTTCTTGCAATTCCAAACGGCAACACCATAACGAAGCTTAACTGAAACTAATGTAATGGTAAGCTGCTCATTCATACCTCAAAAATAAGTCTAGGGGGTCAGTCGATTTTCAGTAACGCGGAATCAACCAGCGGCAACCATAACTAAATCCGGGCTTAAAACTATAATTTCTCTGACCATCCGCAGAATTAACGAAAAATACGAAATACGGAAAATTTATTGAAATATTCGCTTTACGTGAGATTGAATAATTTTGGCGTGCTGTGGCGTAATTTTTCCTTGAATGATCGTGTAGAAATTGAACGATTCGCATGATACTACAATGAAATTCAAATTCTCACATTGATTTGCGTCAAATTTAAATTGATTACAAAATTAATTTATAAATCATGTGAAATTAGAACACACGCACATTATATTCAGTCAACATAGTATGAACAGATGAAATTACAAAAAGATGATCCATTTCATAAATGAGAGAAATAAGGGTACTTATCTCTAAAGAACTCGGTGAGGAAAGAGAATGAATTCTCTCCCCAAAATTCGTCCTGGTTGCCGTATACCTTCTCCTATCTCTATTGATCGGCGATGTGAGGTGGTAACGGGGATAGACGTTGAGCCTAATATACATTTTCATTCAAATACGCAACTTTCGACCGCGTATTGACCACACGCTCTGTAAGTTTCATTACGTCGGAAAGAAATACATGGCAGTACCGTTAACTTTCCGGGGCAAATAATAAAATTCACTGCTCGTTTCTAATTTTCTTACCAGGATTTCAGATAAATCCTGTGGAGTGTTATCAGACTAGGATTCAGGACGGCGTTGATAAGGGACTTATGGACCTCATTATTGATTCCTGATAAGGCCAACAATTATTGGTGTCCTTATATTTCTATTTTTCCGTCGTCATATTGTGACATGAATAATTCCCCAACGTCAGCCTCGGGAATTCGTAGACGATTAGTCATTGTCAACCGTAAAATTGTCAACTAGGGAAAAGGAAACTGGAAACCGAGAGGACCGAGCCAATGAGAGGACCCTCGACGAAAATTTGTCAACGGAGTTGCGCAACATCCGGGCTGGACATGACAAGTGCCTGTCGTGAAAAAATCACGTCACTCACGTGCCGGGCGATCATATTATAAGTTCTCTGTCATTCAAATCTATATTGTACTATACTATCTATACTATCTATATACTATCTATACTATACTATCTATATTGTACGTTAGCTTTTTATGGGCCAAAAGCTAACGAAAACCGAGAGAACCGAAACGAGGGTGAGGAGGCTCACCCGAGGTCCGTAAACCTCACAAATCCCGAAATGTAACCTAAATCCGAGAACAAGAGCACGAACGGACAGGACGAGTGGAGTTAGAACTCGTCCTAGCAACAACACAAAATCCTGAATCCGTTAAACAATAAATTACAACAGACGGGGTGTGACCGGCAAATTACCCGCCAGAGGCTAAAGCCGATGGCGAAGAGAACCGAAGCAGAAAGGCCTGGTGCTGCTCAGGATGCTAGGTGGTGGAGAGAGGGCCAGGGTCCACGAATACGCGAATCTAATAACCCGTAAAAGAGAGACCACGAAGTATGACGACGCATGGATGGGGACACCGAGAGTAGGCTTGCGGGAGTCCGAGGCGCGAGAACTAACCTCGAGGCCTACCTCGCCGAGAGCACGACGTAGGATAACGAAGTGCCGGGAGGCCGAGAGCGTGGAGAGGGACTCGCTGAAATCACACCATCAAGGGTGCGGCAGATTCACTAGGGTAGCTCTCACCCAGAGAAGGTCACGCGAGGAGAGTAATGCTCCCACCCGGAGATCGTCACCAGGGAGAACGTAGCTTTCACCTAGAGAACGTGAAGATGAACGCGGGGCATTGGGAGCCTACCGAGGGCTCAAGTGAGAGTTGCCAGTGGCCTGCACTGGGAGCCAGCCGAAGCGGCTCTGCCGAGCGAGTGAGCAGTCTGGGCAGTATTGCCGATGCCCCCCGCGTTCGACTCCGGCTGGCTGGGCTGCCCTGTGCCGGGAGGTGCTGCTCTTCCCGTCGCCCAGTATTGTCGATATCCCCGACAATAGCTTCTCCTGGAACGCACCGAGTTCAAACGTCGCCACTGACCTCTTCGGACAATCCCTCCGAATGGTCAGCCGTTGAATGCCCGCCCCATCCAACATGGAGCATTCATACGCCAGTATGAGTCCTATGCTGAATGCCACGAAGTCTCATAGACGAACTGGGAGTGTTTCTACGTCTCCGCCCTGTGCTGGTGCCTGCCTACAAGCCTCCTAACTCTCTAAGCAGTCAGGCCCCAGTCCTCACACCCTTCGACGATTCGAGAAATTCCCGGGGAGGGTCGAGATAGCAGACATGTCAGAGAAGTTAGTTCAAGGGATCCAAAAATCGAGTTTAATGTGCGGGATTTCATAAAATCCAGTTACACTATTGGTATTTCCTGACCCTTGTAACGCGATTTTCGCGTTAATAATAATTAACAATATTTATCGGATGAAATCACGCTCTCTGACGTATCGATTGGCTCGGCTAATTTGCCACGCGTGGGAAGTGGAAGTGGTAGTAGTGAACCTCAGCGTCCAGTTAGACACCTCTATCGGAACACTGGGTTGCCCACTCCAGGGAACTGTTCCACGTTAGACGGGGCGGGCCGTCAAATCGCCAGGAGTCCAGATAAGGGGTTACCTGGACGGCTTGGTTGGTGACCTTTGAACCCGGCGCGCTCCAGAAAACGTTACCGGCAGGGATATCCTCGTGGCCGGATGGCAGCACCCCGGACGATCCCCCACGTACTCCAGTGGCGTGAACCGGGAGTTGGGAGCGGAGCTTACTAGGTGAGCACTCTCCACTCTACACGTCAGACTTGCCTCGGCACTCCCACGAGCCAGTCGGTCCCGAGCTCTGATACCCCGTAGCTCCCGGTGCTTAGCGTGGCTATGCAGCCTGCCTTATCACTTTACCTATCACTATCTTTCTTGCAGCCATGAGGCTGAGCTAACGAAATATAATAGGAGGTATGCCTATACCCATACCTCGAGCTCTCGGTATGCTAGCGCCTATGGACAACTATAGACTCCCTATCGCTATCTAATTACTGATCGCTCTCGACTCCATTTACCCGATCTGCTATCGATCACCCTACCCTAACAACCTTTCTACGCTAACGGGGACCGACCATATTAAAGAAGCCCGATCCCCTCTCCACAACCCAGCACACTGAGCGACCCAGTGCTCCCGTACGCGTTCCATCTTTACATCCGCCACTTTGGCATTTCGCGGGAAGTCCCCAGATGTCCATTCGAGCCCTTCTGGCAAAACTCTTCTTTAATAATTTCTCTTGATATAGAGCGGAACCTATTGAAATCTTTTGAAATTTATTGAACTTATTGTTTATCCTGTCGCGAGGATGGGCTAACCCCACCATTCTGTCCTATCGTCCGTCGATGTTTTCGGAACTATCTGTAGAGGTGTCTACCCCCACCTCTATCGGCTTTTTCGGCCTTTCCTAATTGTGTCCTTAACAACTAGGCGGTATGCATGGTCTTTCCTAATTGTATCCTTAACAACTAGGCGGCTCTCTGGTTTTCTATTTTACCCACTTAAAAATAGCTGGCGCCCTCCCGGTAAATACGCGGATGCTATTGAACCGGCGAAGGTAACCAATTCCCCGGACTTACGGAACACTCCGGGGAAAACATGTTACACCCTTACAATTAAGTTTAGTAGTGAATCGTAAAGTTTTGGCCTGAAGTGAAAATTGTTAAAAGTCGAGAGACAATTATTTAGTATCAAAAAACACCGTTTGTAGAATTTCCACCTTATAAATGACTGTGATCCACAAGACCGTGGCAGCAGGGTTTATCTAGAGGGGAAGACAGTAAAAAAGCGAATACTTGAGGGAGAAACTTAAGTGCCACGCTGTAACTCCATATGCGCAATGTCGTAGCGGATAAGAAATGGAATCTATTACCTAAATAAAAACTCCCGAGCGCTACAGGATATGGCATTTTCGTGTTAGAATGGTCAGGATTCAAAACATCGTGAAAACAGGCGATCACGGTCATATGAGATAAAAGTTCATTTTCTTAAGCTTCGAATGATATTACATACACATTGCGCATCAATACATGAGATATTGAAAAAACTCTCGCAGCTGAAGCTGCGAGCATAACGTGATTTAAACTTTGGCTGGTTAGATCTCACAACTCTACTCGGCCGGAACTTGAACCTTTAGCATGTGAGGCAACGAACTTACCAACTGCCCGAGAACGGATATTCTGATCAGGCTTCACATTGTTGTGTCCCAGATTATCAGATAACATCATCAAGTGACACATTAATGTTATGGAATATTGTAATTATGAATAAATTAATTGATCGAAGTAAACCATTACCCTTTAATTAGAAATTAATAAACTAAAGTAAATTGACTAGATTGGGTCCACTATGAGTCGACCATTCTACCGTCCATTACTTTATGGTGCCAGCGCATGTGTTAATAACGGAGACTTAATCAACTTCTGTTCCAGACAGCATTTGAGAGAATAGTTTTGACATTTTCAACAATTCACAGGAAACGTAATTTTCGTTTTGGGAGCATCAACCCATTCTGCGACCCCGGAATCATAGCAGTCCACTTTTCTGAGGCGAAAGAGGTGAAATCCAGCTGGTATTAGTATTTTCTTGGTTTCGAGGAAATCAAAAGAAGGAGGCAAGTGTTTACTTACATTCCGGAATTCAGGATCCAGAATATTCAGGACGCATTGAATTCTCTGGAAGAGTTGGCCCAACTGCTCAGAGGAAATTTCCGTTCAGCAGGTGTAACCCTGGAGTTAGCGGCGGAGACTTCTGAAGAATTCATAGAAGCACAAAGACTTCGATGTGGTGTTACGATGCACAGAGGATTGAATTTTAATTTCAGCAAAAGAGACCGAGCATTCAGTTTCTTGGCTGAAAGAGATTTACACCTGGCTATTGCGGTAAGTCCTATGCCATGAGAGCAAGATGCTTGTACGCTTTATTCCACCGTTGCAAGGACAAGGGGTGATGCCAGAATCGGACCTTTCAGGTATGAATAATCTTGACATGCAGGCTGTTGTCCGGGTAATGACACGGACCAGATAGTAAGGGAAATTATAAAAGGGTTGGATAATGCAAAAGAAAGGTTCCAAGAAGAAGCCGGGGAGTACGACTAAAGAATGAGTTGCATAGGCTTGGGCAGAGATACGTTGTAACTCTAGCAGAAGGTAATTGAAAATTTTTGTTGTCTAAAATAGCTAAAATTGTTATTGAGGTTTCTGAGGTTTACTTTATTTATTTCATATTCTTTTGAATTTAGGAAGGTTTTTCTTGGATTAATCAAAACCGATAATCATCTACTGATTGGGCTCCGTTGCCAAATCGCTATTTGGTACAATCGACGCCTCAGATATGACATAAATTGCGGAGTGGCTCAACCAACTCGAGAGACAAAGAAATGCATATGATCCAACAAAAAATCCAATTGAAGTCAGCAATTCGACACTCTTTCAACTGTAGCACACAAAAGAGACACTTCAATGGAATGAACAAATTTTCTAAATGCAACAAAACCATTATGAAAATTAAATTAATTTTTTACTCAAAATATAATTTATGCAAGACTTTTTCTCTGTTTCACAAATCATTGAATCTACTAGATAGCAATCTTAATAAAATTGCCGAATTCATTATGCTCAAGTTAATGTCACACAGTAATCTAGGAATCGGAATTTTTTTATCTTTGCGAGGTTCAATTATTTTTTGCATTTGTTAAAATATTTTTTGTGGTTTACTGTATCATATATGTCTGATTACTATGAAAAGTTTTACCAGCCAACTATGGGGTCTTTTACTATCAAAGTACGCAACAGTGTATCTGCCAAGTTCACGTTTTACCGACGTCGGGAGCTCCATGGCTGGGTGTGAGCCTAGTGTTCTGAAGGTTGTAAGTTTGATTCCCTGTTGAATTGAATTTTTCAACAAGAACTGATGAGCAGGAGATTGCTAATAGAGCAATGGCCTCCACCGACATATAGGATTCACAGCCACATGCATCGGGTGAGGATAAGGTGGATTAGCACCCGTAGGAAGGGTAGAGGAAGGGCCGTAATAATAAAAAAAAAGGTCACGTTTTGAAGATGCTGTCGCATATATTATACTGTTCACAACTTCCCCGTCTATTACCACTATAATTTTTTTTTTATAAAGCAACCATAACGAAAAATCGCAAATCATCCTCGGATTCTTAATAATTCGTGTTTGGCCTTTCCAATGGCATTTTTATTTCAGCTGTTATTTGCATCAATAAACATATTACCCTCTACAATGGGCGGAAAAATTCCATTTTGCTGATTTTTATGACCTTCACCCAATTTGTGAGCTTCTGATTTATAGGAGTTGGCAATTGCTACTCAACTATACTTTTATATCTATGGCGTAGTCTCCGAAAAAATAAACACTATAAACACTATAAATTTTTTTTTTGAAATTTCAATTTTTAACTATATTTTCATAAAAGAAAATACTGCCAAATCAGCGATCATTTCTAAAATGATGTTATTCTATTTTTTAGCAAAAATAAAACGATTTCGGCAGGTCAGAGACTTTCGTTTTTTTTTCAACTAAGGCGATATCAAAACGCACGAGGAACACGCGCGCTGTTGGCAACGATCCCTGACGATTTAGTCCCATCGGTCTTTCCGATATAAACTTGTTCAATTTAAATCTCTTGTTTTTTGCTACAAACGTTCTCTAAAACGTTGTACCCATTCTCTGCCTTAACAGCGTTCTCAAGTTTTACTATCTTCCTTTATTTTTGTATTTTCTATGTCATCTGTTTTTTATCCTTTCTGTGTTTAATTATCAGAACCCGCTGTCTATACTCTTCGGCTGTTTTCTTATTCAAATTCTTCCCAGAACTTGTTTGGGTTTCTTTCCTACAATTTTTTCTACAATATATGCCATCATTGAATTGATTTTACGGATTTCTACTATTTTTTTCTCTTAATATTTTCGATTGTTCTTCTAGGTGAAAAAATGAATTGTTATGCATTTCAGAATCCGATGTCACACGTACCGACTTGCATTATTGTGGTCGGTAAAAAAAACTTGGCTTACGAATTTGAATAAACAGTTTGAATAAACCTTATATATTTCTCAACAAAAAGAATAGGGGACTTAGACAGCCGGAGGTGTCGGCCGACAACAATTTTTTAACGTTGTTGTCGTATAAACGCGTCTTTCGACAGATTTTTTGAAATTTTTTGCTATAGATAGCTCTTAAAATTCCCTCCAAAATGAGCACAACAAAAAACCAATCGTCAGTTTCTGAGCTGAGATATGATTTTTTGAATTAACATGGGTTCAAATGCATTTCACCGTTTTTATTAAAAAAAAAAACCACTCGACATTTTTTGATGAAATTAACACAGAACGTAGAAATAGTGACCACCAATATACTTAAAAAAAAAGAAAGTGATCGTCAGTTTCGTAGTAGAGCAATAAATTTTCAAAGTAGCATTATTTCTCCCAGTGGGCGGAGCGCATGGGTTCGTTGCGCGCGACGCTACAACAACGCTTTTTGCTCGAGTGGCGCAAATCTATTTGGAATAGTCAATGACGAATCAAAGGGATGATTCATAAATAAAATAAATACATTGAGTGAGAAAGAGAGAGACATGAAAACAGAGACACGCTGCGCGCCGTTGCCACGAGCGGCACCATTTAGCGTTAGCTGTGTGTACATGTATCCATGCATGGTAGATTCTTGTGTGCGTGAGTCGAGTGGAACTGTACACCCGCAAAAGTTTATATTCTAACTCGTATTCTCCGCTTAGCGGAAGATCAACCCGGAGCGTAGTAAATTTTAAGCCTGACTCTCTCGCGACAACAACCTTAAGTAAGGAATTGTCCAAAAAAATTTGTTTCTTTTCATGAATTTTGACATGTTTTTCATGAGAGATTTTCAATATTCGAGAACAAGCGATATATGATTCCACCGACTGCACTCGATTTCAATGGCTTCAATTGATTTCAAATCGACTTCAATGGATTTCACCGTCGAGTCACGACATGATTTCAAGAGTCGGCAGCCCCTCGGTTACACTGAATTCCCACATTTTCATATTTGAAGTTATCGAATCAACACTACACTTCGCTCTTTCTGGGCCTGAAATTTGACATATGAATATGAGGGAATTCAGAGGAACTATTAATGACATATTTTTATACAAACAAGCTAGTATCGATTTTCCAGAATAAAGGAAAATACGATGAAAATATTCAAAATATTGAAACTGGAAAAAAATATAGAATTGATTGTTTTCCCATGATGAAAAAAATGTCTAAATTCATGGAAAAAATCAAACTTTTTCAAGAACTAAAAAAAAATGGCTGAAAGCTGAAAGCGTTTAATTTCTGCTTAAAAATTGAAAGTCATCACGTTAGAAATGATAAATAAAAACATGATTAAAAAGTGAAATTTGAAAAAAAAACTTCATTTGGTCAATTTTCCGAGAGGTTATGAATTGAACAAAAAAATTAAATAACATTTATATTTCATAAACGGTTAGAGTAAAAAATTTGAAAAAATTCGTGAATGGTATTCTTGTTACTTACTCTTATAGGCCAAACCGGTAAAAATCAGGGAAATTAAAAACTTTTGTCCATGTTTGTTTTTTCCGAAAATGCTTTCTATATATAACAAGCAGTTGGGTATTCTCAATATGTTGATAATGCGCAACATCAACCGTCGCTACTGTCACTTCAGGTGTTGTGTTGAGCGTTGAAATTTCCAAAATTAATGGAATATAGTGAAAAATTGAACAATTGAAGTTTTTGAAGAAAATTTTCCAAGTTGGTTTTTTGAATAATTTTCTAGGCGACAAAAACAAATGAAATCAGATGGAGAACCAAATTGGACGAGTTTCAATGAAAAAAAAAAGGATTTCATGGATCTACTCTCTGTGTATGGTAATTGTTTAGTCGTATATTATCCGTTACTCCCTATAAAATTCCCCAGAATCGATGTTTTTTTCCGTCAAATTTTCTCGATGTTTTATCATTATCGGAATTTTTATATGACAGAACAATACCCTGACTTCTTAGGAGTACACAATGGCCCAGAGGTTGGGGACGAGTCTGCCGCAACTCGCGTATACCGGCATGTTGGAAATTCCTCTCGGACATTATATGGTCGAATGCAGGCGGGTTGGATAAGCATCCGAGTAATGCAGATAAAGATAAAATTCAAACGATTATTCCACCGGTATATACAGACGCATCGAATATCTACTGATCGGTAGGTGATGAAAAATTCACTTTTACTGCTTCAATATTTCTCCTCCAGCCCTCCTCACCACTCGATCATCAGGAGAATGCACGGAATTTTTGCATGACAAATTGCCATTTATTTTCACTGCAACGCCCACTGTCTACACAGTTGGAATTCTCAAGCTGCTCCCAAAAGAGTTGAAATAATTATTATTTGAATCAACCCGAGACCTTCGTCCGCACGACAAAGAAAGTCTTTCGAACGTAAACTCTCACTCTCAAGGACGCTGGATTCTCCATCCGGTAAGAAGCCTCCTCATCTATAGACCCGAACGACACCGTATTGCACAATTGGTTTCTCAAATTGCCACAATGTTTTTTTCATTATCGAGAGGAGACGCCCAACGCGGTAGGGGTAAGGTTGTTCAACTGTGGCGGGAACATCGGTTAGTTTCGCATGGCGAGTGCTTCTTGTGTCCTATCATTCTGTATCGTCTCCCTTTTGTCTTTTCCTCCATCTCATAGAGATGAGACGGTCGACGATTTGTTGAGCTTCCATTCGGTTTTGTTTTCAAGTTCTTGTCATGATTAAAAGTTCTATTTATAAAAGGTGATACGGTCAAATTATGTTACTAAGAGTGAGATTTTGAATAACTTCATGCGATGAGATTGTTGAAGCGTAACGTCTCATTTGTTATGTCTCATTTGCTGTTGGCGAATAAAACTCTTCTGTTATTGGTCAATTGGCGGTAGAATCATTCATTACAATGGAATTTACTGACGTGTACGAAACCTGAGTTCGCTCTCGCATAAATAAAAGTGAGCCATCGAAATACGGTGGGTGTATTTTTCAATCATACAACGATTCGTATCCGTAACATTAGTTCTTTTGAGAGGGTCTAAACTAATTACGTTCTTCCTGCTTGATGGATCCTATCTATTCATCCCCGTTCGAAAACCTATCAAGATACGCGACTGCGTATCGGCCAAGTGGAGGTGTTAGCGGTGTGACGTCACATGCCGATGCTGTCGCGTATAATATACACGACACAACTACTCCAAAAATGTGTTTAATTTTTTTTCTCGTAATACGAGAATTTTTCGCGAAGTCGAGCCTTAGTTACATTATATAAGTTAACTGTGAGCTGTAATAAAA